AAAATCTCGTTCTCACTTACAACCTAACGCATAGGGTAAGTGATTAATGCGTTGATATATTTGTCTCAACCAGCGGCATCTACCCTCTAACAAGAATACCATTTACTTCATAAATTAGTCTGCAAAGAAAACACGTCAGTGGAACCTCAAGCAATACTGTGGCAAAACTGTCTAGTGAGAAAGGTTTCCAATTGAAGGTGGCCAAGCATAGATCTCGAACCAACTGACTAATAGCCTCGATTAATGGAACTGCTATCAAGATCACGATAGATCAGTTCACCTCATGACAAAACCACTGCTTCAGTTGAAATTCCGAAAAGTGGTCGACGTAAAGCGCGAAAAGGAACTCGACGAGAGGCGGAAGAATGAGAAATTGGTGCTGAGTGCGGATCATCCGGTGCGAAAATTGCTGCTGAGAATGCGAGAACGACATGGAACACGCATATTTCCATCACCAATCCTGGGTGATCATGAAAGGGTTCGATGCTGACTGTTTTTACGAGTGGATCAATCCGCTACAAAGATGAATATGGCTTTATAGAGTGCATATTGAGCGATCCTTTCTCAGTTGCGAGAAGTAATCATTGATAATAAGCAACGAACGCAGTGCTGGTTTATCACAGATACTGAATTCAGGCGTTGAGGAAACTGGACCACAATAAAACTGCATCGTTGGCCTCGTTGAATGAATACGATCAATCAGTTGGTAATCATATTGCCCGTGGAGGACATCGGCATCATTTGCACGGACGAAAACCTCCACCGCTGATAAAACGAGCCACTGTTGGTGAGGACGGCATCGCGCATAAAGGTGCTTGGATGATCGCAGACTCAAGACGGGACATCCACCGAACGTCAAGCGTTCGTTGCACATTTTTCAGTCTATTTTATCGTCGTCGCATCAGATGACTCTGACTTTTACATAACTATGCAAGAGGTACGGTCTGTCCAGTATAAAAATGAAAAAGTTGCTGTCCAATATGAACTGAATTAAGCCTCTGGCAATAATTTGGCAGTATGTTTCCAGGAGGTATATGTGATGTTGAGCGATGTGAAAAAGTGTATTGAATCACTGAACGAGAGAATGCGAACAATTGAAAATCTATCAACGCGATTGCTTTCTGTGGAAGGACATCTTCTTGAGGTTTGCGGATCACAACGAGGTTCCGTCTTATTTCCGACATTTTCATTTCATTAAATCAAACTGTTATGCGGTTCAACTGATCTATGATGCCTTCAAAAAATCCTCAAATGCGTTTGCATGAATGCAAACGCTTCGTTGTGTTGAGAGATTTTTGGTCATATATTGCACAGCTTGTGTTAAGTTTTGCTTGCCTTATGATGAACAAGATTTATTGTAATCTATGAGATTCATATTTTAGCGACGGTGCAGGCGGTTTCATATGTTGACTCCGGTTCTGTAACACGCTCAACCATCGGTACTGGTGGAAACGGTACGATTGCAACCATATCAGCCATAGTTGATGAAATAAGCGAACAACCGCCACCAAACACATCTGCAGCGCCGCCATATCATGTCCCACTGACGACATATCCGTTCGGTCAGACTCATCAGCAGCAGCAGCAATTGCGTGATCATCACCATCACCATTCACCTTCGGTTGTTCCACCGCTTCGACAGTTGGACGTGGAAAGTGCCTGGCATGAAGCAATGCCACTCAGTACGGTGCCATCAATTCAATTCGACTCTAATTCCAGTCATCGCCGCAGCCGCTCGTCTTCGTCAAGTCCTCCGGAACGAAAGCGTGTCTGAACGGCGTCGCAAACCAGTTGTTACATATTCTTATGTAAATCACCTCATTCTCGTTCGCTATACATACATCTTATTCTATACATTCGTTAATCGCTCATCACTCTAGCTATACTATGTGCAAATAAGCTCGCTCAATGATTTTTTTGTTATTATACTTTTGATGTCATCTTTCATTCCAGTTCCATTCAAGCTCATTTGATCTCGTCAATACAACAGCTGAGCAGTGCATTATTCATCTAAGGTGAATCGTCTGGTACTCCGACAATTTGCCTAAAGACGTTTTGCCTAAAGACAGTTCGCCTAACGCACTGTTTTCAATGGATATTTTACCTAATCGGCAAACTGACCTTAGGCGAAACGTTTTCAGGCGAATTGTCCGGTCACGAATCGTGAAGAATTGTCAAGAATACGTCAATCATAAAACGCAACTTCTAGGCAGTTATTCGCTCAAATAACAATCACTAGAAAATTCAGCTCAATGCGTTCTGATTGGCAATAGGTGAGATTGATTGAAAGCTGAAACAATAGCGAATGGTGATCTGACTCTACTATTGTGGGTTCAACTAGCGATTTAAGCACTGACTGATTCGATACGCACTGCTCAGTTTTTG